TGTTCTTTTCCACAGTGTAACTCATCCCCACTCAAATATCGTGCACCAAATATATTAAAGTTTATTTTTCTGTTCAATTCTAGTCCAGAAAACAACAAGGAACTAGAACACAACAAACATTCACTATTTAAATTCCTCGGATGGATGGATGGAGGGATGAATGGATGGAGGGATGAATGGATGGAGGGATGGAAGTAAAATTTACATTATTTTATGAATTATTCTTTTCTGTCTTCATATTTTCTTCTGATAAAGTAAAAGTTGTTTTAACGTTCATGTTTCTGTAATTTACCTCTGAATTGATGAACAGGAAATTGTGTTGTTTGTAATGAAGCAGCAAAGTTTAATTAAATTTAATGGATATATTAGTCGACTAATATCGATCTAACTGAATATGTTGCTTGTTACATAATTTGAGCACAATTAAGCAGAACTGGGGTTAGTTGTCATTTAAAATTACAATCAACAGCTGCTTTCTTTAAACACAATACTAATCACAGATACGTCAAATCGGGTGTTTTTCTTGCACCGTGGATAATTAGAGCAGCCTTTTATGCACTTATTACACATTTCAGATCAAAAGGAAAATCCTTGAGAAATACTGAATAAAATCAACTTGATGACGTTTTATTTACTGTGGAATTCTTGGAAAAATGTACATTTTGTGCATTTCTGCGTTGCTGCTTGACTTCAACGTGTTTAACCGTCTAAGATCATCTTCAGCTGATGTGTGCAGGTGTACATCCACTGCATTGTAACCTTTATTGTTTCTTCGTGTCTCTCTCTTTCTACTGAAGACACTGGATGACAAAAGGTTCAACTCTGGCGCTCTTCACTGACCCCTCCCTTTCTCTTTTATCTTTAAAATTAGTTTTAACCGTCCAAAATCACATTTTTGGATCGTTAAAAGCAGCTAAGATGAGAAGCTAAGCTAAGCTAACAGGCCGACCTCGGGGAAAAAGCAACCTCCGTCTTGTTGTGAAACAGTTGAAACTTGTGTCTTCGTCTAAAAAGTTGTTTTTCCTCTGCAAAAAAAAAAAAAGCTGAGAACTTGTTTACTGATTTTTATTAAAAGCTTTGTGTGACGCATGCTATGCTAAAGAGCTCAAACCACACCGAGCGGCCGCCATTTTGAGAACCAGAGACACAGCCCATGTCACGTCAAGGGGCTTCCCTCCCATTTGTCTTAAAGAGACACGCTGCTCGCTCCCTCGCTATCCATCCTTCGGTTCAAACAGTTTTATACTGCCATCCAGTGGTCAAAAAAGATACTACACACAAAACAAATTAATAAACATTTCTTCTTAAATTTGACAATAATTACTAATTATTGTCAAATTTCAAACATTATCGTTTATCACAATAATTTCTGAGACAATTAATCGCTCAGCAAAGTTAGTTATCGTGACAGGCCGAGTTGACCGATGGTCCTTTTTGCATGAGTAAAACCAGTTTCAGTGATTTCCACAGCAGGCTGGCTTGAAACACGTCAAGGAGGTGCTATTTATAAGACAGATCCTGTTGGCAGGCCTCAGGCTGATGAAGTCCTCAGGATGAAAGACGAAACATTTCTCCCAAAAAGAAACTGTCCAGATGACACGATTGAACCTTTTTGTGATTTGTTTGCCTGAATGATTGATCTTTCAAACCTTTTGTCATTCATCAATAGAACAGCCATCATTTCTGTCTCAAATGTTTATGTGAACCTGTCGATCAGTGTTTAAAGGAACAGAGAAAACTACAGTCCAGTGTGCTGACGCCGTTTAAACTGCTCTCTAAATATACAAAGATCATCCGTCAGCTGGAATGGTTCTGGGTGATTCTGTGGATTTAGACACTTTCTGTAATGCCGACGGTCTGACGTGGAGCGCGGAGGCTGCTGTGAAGGTTTGCAGTCACCGCTGAGGCCGCCATGTCAACACTTCATCCAAACACTTCCAAAGCACTGCAAGGTTCAAAGCACTGATCTGAAAGCCAAAGGGGGAGCAGCATGTAGATACTGGTTCAGCCTCTTTAAGCAGGTAAAGATGTTGAGTTTAAATGGGACACCAGTTCAGACTAAACAGCCAATCCTGTATTCAACCAGTTAAAATCTTTCCTTGAAGTCACACCTGAATCATTGGAGCGCACGTGTGTGCAGCGAAGCTCCTTATGTCGGTGGTAGCGCTACATGAAACAGTAACGTGTGGTTAAACTCTCCATGTTTACCACATTGTGAAATATCATTACTTCTTTCATGAAGAAACTGTTTCCACAAAACTCCTGGGAGGTGAAGTGTTTGTGTTTTCGCCCTCCGGTGAGCACGAGCTAACGATCTCACCCGTTCTGCGCCCACTCAGTGTGTCTGCTGTCTGTGCTCGGCTCACGCACACACCTACTGAGCACATCCACGCTGGTCACGCATGTCCAACACACAGCGCTCCTCCCTGCAGTCAGCCTTCGTTGTTCGCTGATGAAGGTGATGAAAGTCTGCCTGACCCTGGGGACCGTGTGGGTCTGTTTGTGTTCGCTCCTTTCCCTTTTTCTCTGCACCACAAAGAAACATCGTAGAGCTTTGGGCAGATGAAGTTAGTCCGTGTCAGAAATGAATAAAAAGTTTCAGAACGATACAAGAACATTTCCAGTGGAGGTGTCTCATACTTTAATCAGAAACAGGAAGCACCAATAAACCATAAACACATTTTATTGTGGAAGGGCTCGTGGGTAGAGGTAAGTGAGAAGACCTTTCTCTGCGGTCCTACTTTGATTTAAAGTCCCAGGTAAGGACAGCAAAACAATTCATATCAAAAACTCATCAGACTTTTTGTTGTCAGTGTATCAGAATATCTGTGGATAAAACAATTCCTCCTGAGATATGAAGCCGTTTGTTACGTTCTGAAGGCCGGAGGGGCTCCCAGTGCTCGCAGAGCTGAGGAGCACCAGGTTGTTTATCTCACTGGTTCAGACAGTTTTAGTTCCTGAGGAAGAAAATAAACTCAATCGTCTCACCTGGATTTCTCTGGTTTGATCTTATAAACTTATCTTACAAGACACTAATCAAATGCAACTAAACAAAATCCATCCATATTGGATCTCAGAACGTAAGATAAGCCTGGGCTGCAACTAGCTGGAGATGAAAAACGTGAGAAAATATTTGTAGGGCACGTTTGTGTGCGTACATAAAATAAATCACAGCGTTTGTGTAACATTTCTGATAAAGATGTACATTTATTTGTCCAGTTGTACCAATCGTCTGAATTTTTTTTAGCTTTGTCCACCTCCAAGAATCTAACCAAACAGTGAGTGGGGCGGGGCTTGTTTATTTAGCTGTTAGCAACCATGAAGCTAAGCTAATGAAATCCAGACTATACGTAGTCCCACAGCAGGTTTACAAATGGAGCACTGGTCCTAAAAACAGTCTTCCTAACGTGCATTCACGTTTTCTATCCTCCACAAAGTTATCGTGTGTTACAAAAATATAAATTGAACAAAGACACGTCCTTCCTGTTCATTGTCAGTCATGTGAAGGTTTAATTAGTACTGGCCGTAGCAGAGTTTATTTTTTTGTAGAGAAGTAAAGATTACTGACAAACAACGTATTTCATTGAGGATAACAAAGATAACGTTACTAACACCGATACATTTTACTTCTACATTAGATTTATTGTCCTGGATAAAGTTTTACTAGGCAATAGTCTATGCTAGGTTATCTAAATATTAGCTTGCTAACTTGACAGGTATGAGCTAATGAAAAGCGGGTTGGAGGATTGAAGATAATTTATTATTGTTGATTTGTTTTATTTTACAGATCAGTTAAAATAAATTTACCATGCCCTGTTCATCAAAATACGCTACACAGCATTGCTCACTGCTTTGTCTGCGCTGAAACTGAAACTTAAGTGAACAGCCACGACTTGAAAGTAGACTCAATGTACCCTCTGCTGGATACATTGTGCAATTCCAGCTGGTTCCAGCATTTCAGAGGTGAAAATTAGAAGTGTTTGTATCGGCACATAACAAGACAATTATCATAAATACTGAAATGTTCCGATGTCGGCCTAAAATATCAGCCTGTTTTTTTAATGTCCAGAGGACCAGATTGAACTTTTTTTTAGATTTTTCTACCTGGATTATTGAGCATGCATCAGGTTGATTTGCTAATATTTTTGAGGAGCCTTGAGGCTCATAAGCAAACTGAGAACCCTCACAAAGGCTTTGACACGTTTCAGAAGCTTTTTTTGTGTGTGAGTGAATTCTGTTTGAAATTTGTGGCCAGCAGTGACATGCACGTATTGTTACGACCAAGATTTTGACTTTTCATCATGTAATGGTATTGAATGTATCCACTGTTGTACTTTAAACAGTTGATCCTGTCCAGGGTTGCAGGACGCTTGTGACCAGCACAGATCCATAGAAACAACCTTGACCTCACACTTTAACACCTAAAGACCACTTAGAGTCACAAACTCACCCAGCATGAACGGTTTTCAGCTGCGGGAGGAAACCACAGTACCCTGAGAAAATTCACGTATGCATGGGAAGAACATGTAAACTTCACACAAAGAGGCAGAAGCTAGGACTCGAACCTACGACCTTCACACTGTGAGCACCAGTGCTACCCAACTGCACCAGTGTGCATCATCCCAGTGACACACAGTGTAAATACAGATCAAATGTGATGCCAGTGGATCCTTATTCTGGTCATGTAGGTTGACCAGTGCAGTGGAACAGCAAATCAAAGATTAAACTGGTGTTAACACCTGGATTAATACATCACGGTTTAATTATGACGAGGCTTTTGACAAATATGAAAAAGACCAGTTTTGTAATGGTTTACATTTATCAGCAATGCTTCACAGTCCAGAATCATGTGTCAAATAATTCCCAGTTAAGGTGGTGGTGTCCAGTTATTTCAGACATCAAGTCTCTGCTATGAACTGGTATGATCACCAGTTTATGATGAATTTGCGCCGTGTGTCCTGGTGTATTTAATCTGACGGAGCGTCTTGTTTGTCCTGCAGGTCTCCGGTGATGGCAGGTGGGCTGTTTGCTGTGGACAGGAAGTGGTTCTGGGAGCTGGGAGGATACGACACTGGTCTGGAGATTTGGGGAGGAGAGCAGTACGAGATTTCTTTTAAGGTAAATTGATATAATCCCAAACAGCTGCGATGATAAATGACTAAAAGTTGGACTTGTTCTCTGTCCGTTCAGAAGCTGCTCGAGGTGTTTCATAATCTCTGAGCTGCCAGTAGAAAAGTTCTGTTCAGTTTTCATTCTGCTGTGACAACTGAACGAGGACGAGAAGGAAAATGTGATCTTTCCATCAGTGTCCATGTCACACGTCACCGCAGCCGCTCCTCAATTAGTCTAATTGGCACCGAGTGTTTATCTGGAGGCGTTTAGCTTTCATTGTCGGACTGACTGAATTTTAATGGATGTCCGCAGACGTAAACTTTGTGAAATTATCTGTAAACTCAACTTTACAGCTGTGCAGCCATTTTGGTCCGAAGCCAAATTAAAAAGGTAAAATAATGTTTGATGCGACGGCCGTTAAAGATGCCAAAACCACAAATCTAAAGAAAAATCACGATTTAAGAACACAAAATTACAACAAACGTGAATCGATCGTTCTCACAAGACGTCGTTCATCAGTTTGTTTTTTTAAGATTTTTTTCACAAAGAGATGGATTTGAATAAAACGCCGCCTCAGACGGCTCGTTGAGCATCAGTATTGAACCTCTCTTGCTTTTTGCCTGTTTGTTTTTCATCACAGTTGTTCACTTTCATCCGCTCCAGCAGCTTTGGGGAAGCACGATGCCTCAAAACTTGTTTTGTTGACAAATTTCACAAAAGCATAAAAAGTGAAAAGTTGTCCCTTAAACCAAAATGGCGCTCAGGTGAAACAAAAGAAAAACGACCGATCTCTGGAGCTCTACATCTTGTTGCGGTAAAACATTAAAGGTTTAAACGCGTCACAGGAAGTTGGATCTTAAATGACTGAAGTGCTGTTTTAAGATCTTTTAATAGTTTTTACACTTAATCATAGTTTTAGTTTGATTTTATTTTCATCATAAACCTACACAATGAAAGATTTTTCTTTTTATGCCAACAAATTTTCCTCTTTGACCGTTTATACATGAAATTAAAAACATTTCTTCTAAAGTTGAGCTCTTTAAAACAGGAAGTGATGTCATTTTAACTGGTCATAAAACCCGTAGAAGCATAAAACCGAACATGTCAGTTCTCTGCTGCTGAAAGTTGTAGCCTCCGCACAGCGTCTGTTTGTTTGAGGCTTACTTTTCAGTTTGTTTCTGCCTGTCAGGGACTGACCGATGTGAAGGTCAACCTGTGGCTTCAGCTTAAACACTTCTGCTGATCCAGGTTCAGTTTACATGTTTTATACAGTTTATACATCAAAATATATATATTAATATTAATATATATTATTAGCTAGGGGAGCGGTGGTGCAGAGGTTAGAGAAGGTGGGGCTGTGATTGTAAGGTTGCTGGTTTGATCCCCTGTACCGACATCAAAATGTGGGTGTGAATGGTGAAGCACCCACACCTGCCTCCACCCTCATCTGCCCCACCCTGGGCCCTTGAGCAAGGCCCTGAACCCCCACCATCCGCTCCCCCGGGCGCCCCAGATGCAGCTCTGCTCCACACAGAGGCGGTGGCAGCTCGGTGTCTGTGGTGGTGTCAGGAAGGACGTCGGTGTAAAAACAGTCGCCGAGTCTTCGTTCACTGTGTCGACCCCTGGAGAAGGAGCAGCCGAAAGAAGAACTGAAAATAAAACAAGGTTCTCCAACGTGTTCTGTAAGTTCTCATCTTTGAGCATCGTTAGGATTTGATCTGTCGGCTCGTCCGGTCTGTTGCGTCGCGGAGCCTTACATCAGAGCTCCATATTAGATTAGGTTTTATTCTGGAGCTTCAGCTTGAATTATTCTGTAACCGCTGGCGACTCGGCCCGTAAGTCGAGTCCTGGGCTCCGTCAGCGAGCTCCGGACGGACCCGACGGCCGTCACAATAATTTAATTTTGGCTCGAGTGAGTAAGGACTTTTGTCGTCTCACTCAATTAAGCGCCAAGGCCTCTGCCGGCTAGTTGGATTTGATTGGACGTCTGCTGCAGCGCGATCGTTCTTTAAAGTGCTTTCCTCGGAGCGCCGGCTTTATTCTGCAGAAAAAATTAACCGCCGATCGAATTTACTGTCAAGCCTCTTCAACGTCCGGCTGCGTCTTCAGACTCGTGCTTTTTATTTCTGCTGCTAATGACAAGGGAATAACAGCGACTCCACATTTATGATGTGCATGAAGTGTAGATCATTTAGTTTTAATCTTTTCCATTGAAATAAATAAAACATGTAAACAACAATAAACTGGTGTTTTGTTGCTTTGAGGACAGAAAAGATCAAATTTAAAGTCCAGGAGCAAATGCATAACTATTTTTATTAAATTCAAGATTTGTAGAAAAAGTTTTCATGGATTTGATCATAAAATCATTTTAGATGAAACTTCAGACACCGATTAGTTCTGTTTTAAACAATCAGCCATTTTTAACAAACTTCACTGAACGATAAAATAAATAAAATAAATCTGTGGCTCTTCTCTGAAAATCTTCAAAGTAAAAGAAAAATGTGTTAAAAATTAAATAAATTATTTTATTGTCTGCCTTTCCTGGCTGTGGGCAGTCATGTAAGTTCCTGTTTGTTTGTCTGTTAGCAAAATATCTGAAGAACCAGTGGATTACATCACATGTACACGTCTACTGCTCATTAATTAATCCCATTTTGATGGTAGTAGCTGAGAGTCCTCCTCAGCTCAGACTCTGAACTGATCACGTGAGGTTTCATTCAAACGTGGCGTTCAACATGGCGGGCGACTTTCCAGCCAATTATTTTAATCTTCTTCACGTTCTTTCGTTCGTTTTCTTTGTGACAAACGATCTTTTAAAACTTGTCTCGTTTTTTAAACTTCTCCCTAAACGAACAGAACAAATCGTAGATTTCCTCGTCAGTCCGAGCATGAACGAGTCGTTTTGTTCTCTCGGCTGTAATCTGTGTAATCCAGAAACTTTTGCTTTGTCAGAAAGTGAGAATTCTGCTGTTTTGTTGGGATTAAACATCATCCAGGCCAATCCTAATCTGTTGAGGTGCAGCTCGGGCTTGTTCCTTCTTCCCTCTTATGTTTCTGTTTTCTTCTTGGAGTCACAACATCGTCCCTGCAGCGTGCACAGCAGCGTGCACATCAGTGTGCACAGCAGCGTGCACAGCAGCATCGTCCCATCATGACGTTTTTAATCCACGCTTTGTGTTCGTCACGTGTGACGGAGCCGCCTGCTTGATCACTGCTGCCTCGTCTCCCTGCAGGTGTGGATGTGTGGAGGACGGATGGAGGACATCCCCTGCTCACGGGTGGGACACATCTACAGGAAGTATGTCCCCTACAAAGTTCCAGGGGGGGTCAGTCTGGCTCGGGTGAGTTTTTCATCATTTACTGGTGTAATAATCTGCACAAATGGTTAAATATGTTGAAATATGTTATTCAGTGAAGGCTTAGTTTTCTGCCTTTAAACCAAACTGAGCATCAGGTGATGAAACGTTATCATCAGGATGGATTTATGACATAAAGCAGTAAAACCTGCACATGGACGCCTTCAGGTTGGACACCGCTGTGTCTGCACCTCCTGCTCTCCACCCTGGAACTCTAAAATAATTACAATTCCTCCGTTCACGGTCCGTAACTTCTTGTTCAATAATGATCTCACATGGGAACTTTAAGACTCGGCTGAAATGTGTTGAAGTGTTCTTGTGTCCTGGAGCTGAATGTGGTTTATTATGCATGAGTGCTCCTGACACCTGGCTGTGTTTGGCTCTGCTGAATGTGTAATTAAAACTCTCCATCTCCATTTCTGCCTTTAGTTTGTGACCGTTAACCTCTGCAACAGAACGGACTGAATTCTGATCAAACTAGCAGCACATTGAACATCACAGAAACACTTCCTGTTGCTCCGTCCACGTACTGATGAGCCCTGCACCTTTTTCTTTACACAAAACTCCCAAAACAGTAGTTTAATTAAATAAAAGCTGATAAGAGAGAAGGCCGTGTTCCTGTTCTACCAACTGTAGTAATAAAACAGTGCACAGATAAGAGAGGATTTTACCCAGTATGCACATAAAGCTTGTTTATAACCTGTTAAAGGTTGGATGAATAAACTACATCAATGCTGTTGTCTACTTGAGCTTAAAAAAACAAGAAACCAGATTATAAGGATATGTGCCACCCATCCATTATCTTTACCCACTTCTTCCTTTTCAATAAAACATTAAAAATATCATTACAGAGTCTATAAACCAAATGCAGATAGAACAGCATACATATAAATCATGACACCAGAGTGAAGAACATTCAGATATGTAGCCTGAACCAGTGTTTCTGACTCGTAAATTAGAACAGACATTATTTTGATTCTAAAGAGGCTAATCTAAACTTCTGATTGTTTGACTAAATTATCAATATGTTGTTCAGAAGACCATACTCCAGACAAATACTCGGATATTTGTAAGATGATACTCTCATTAAAGTCCCTCTGGATTAGCAACAGCAATACTATCTGATAATAACTTCTGAAAACAACATGAATTTGGTTTTATTTGCATTAAGCATCAACTTAAAGCCGCACGTTGTTGCCTGCAGCTGCTGAACAGCAGTTTGAAGCTCCTGGCTCAAAGGAAGGCTAACAGAACCGAGGACTGTCGTCTGCATAAAGGAGTACTTCAGCTGTACGCAGTTCATCCCAATAGTAACATAAAAATGGAGAATAAAACAGGACCTAAAGTTGAGCCTTGGGGAACTCATTTAAAAATATTTTTTTAAATACTAAAAATACCTGTGATGATTCTTATTTGAACTCATATTTTATGCAATTAAAAAGTTTGTCGTGTTTTGTTGAGTCAGTTCCTGAAATTCAAACCTGTAGTTGTTTCCAACACATGTGGGAACAGGAGCAGTTTGGAGCAGTTTGGAACAGTTTGGAGCAGTTTGGAGCAGTTTGGAACAGTTTGGAGAAGTTTGGAGCAGTTTGGAACAGTTTGGAACAGTTTGGAGCAGTTTGGAACAGTTTGGAGCAGTTTGGAACAGTTTGGAGCAGTTTGGAACAGTTTGGAACAGTTTGGAGTAGTTTGAAACAGTTTGGAGAAGTTTGGAACAGTTTGGAGCAGTTTGGAACAGTTTGGAACAGTTTGGAGTAGCTTGGAACAGTTTGGAACAGTTTGGAGCAGTTTGGAACAGTTTGGAGAAGTTTGGAACAGTTTGGAGAAGTTTGGAGCAGTTTGGAACAGTTTGGAACAGTTTGGAACAGTTTGGAGCAGTTTGGAACAGTTTGGAACAGTTTGGAACAGTTTGGAGAAGTTTGGAACAGTTTGGAGAAGTTTGGAACAGTTTGGAACAGTTTGGAACAGTTTGGAACAGTTTGGAGCAGTTTGGAGCAGTTTGGAGCAGTTTGGAGCAGTTTG